TTAGTGTAAGCTCTACCAAACTCTGGCATCTCTTTGGCATCTTTTTCCAATGGATGAATTGGCTATTTTAAAAACACAGTAGGTTTGAGTGAAAGAGAGGGGCGGGGGTATAAAGCCATAAAACAGGTCAGGGTCGAAATGTGACGTACTGTGCAGCTATTACTTTTAAAAGAAAGTGCAACGTCACTGTACACTATTGGCCAGCTCTGTATCAATTTCCACAGGGGTGACGCTCAACCACAGATCACTGGAGCTTGAGCATCACTGTTCCTGTTCCAGTGAAACAAAAATTAACTTTGAAAAATATCTTCCTTCCTCTTTTAGGCATAGAGCTGCTGAGGCCAAATGGCTGTCGTTTCCTGAGAAAGACTCCACAGGCTGCTGAGTGCTCACTTTCCGATGGTTGCAGGGCCAAACACAAACAACAGACACAATTAGCCTCCATTTCCACTCCAACTGAACTAGTAATGAAAAACAAAAACACAGCCATACGGAATTAAAATAAACCCCATTGGCATACTGTGTAATGAAATATGAAAATCCCAAGGAAATTGTCTTAATTTATATGCATGGCCTAAATGTGTTTCCTGTTGCTAAGGAATTTAAACAGAGGCTGGCCAATTACCTACCAGACTCTTGTTGGCCTTCAGGTGCTATGCTAATTAGGGTCATAGAGGGTCACGTTGTAATGCACTCACCAAAATGAGGCAGGACTCTCCAGGGGATTTTCTTGTTTTGGAACGATGCCAGTCACAATCCTGCTGGTATCAAAGCCCCTTCATCAAACCTTTGTTTGTGTTTCTATTTAAGACAACTGTCAATGGCAATGTGGGCGCAGGTATTAGCAAACAGCTATTTAAAGGAAAGGATTTCAAGGTGTACAGAGAGAGCCCAATCTAATTTAAGCCTGGGATAATGGGTGAGGCTGGCGGTCAGGTTAGTTGAGGACTTGAGTCAATCAAGTATGCCGCCAAAAAAATCCTGCTATGGAATCAGAAAAAGGGAGAATATTTAGCCAAAGTCACTCACATACAATTAGATGATTAGATTAATTAGTTCTCTAACTTTTGGTTGGATCTGTATCTCAAGGCTCTACTTTTCAACTGTTCGTTACAATCAGTTTGGCTGAGGGCATTTTGCCATATTAATGACCTTGGCTTTCTGTATTGAACTTGTGAACCTGTCATAACCATTCTCCCTCAATTTTCTGGATGGCCTTTTCAGTTGGTCTGTTTTACTGTAATAGCAGGTGATTGTGCAAGAACCACTAGCAATCCTCAGCGAGGGTGACATCCTTCACTGCTAGTGCCTCGCTGAAAAGAGGAATGTATTTGGCTAACAATAGCCTGTCAGCCACGCTCGCCCTTCCCATGCATTGAAAGGTGACATCGGCGGGACGTGGTGACACACATCGCTGCGTTCAGAGCGCTGAAAGCTGAAGTGGTCTTCATTGTATGATACTGTGTAGGACTGAAGCTCCATTGTCTCTGCAAAGAGACATGTCATTACAGATGCAGGGCTGACAAATGTATAGGGCTGGTACATTTAAACACTCACCCATACTGTATAGACTGATTATTTAAAATGGTCTCATTTGCGCATCTTATAAAACTATGGACTATCTGCCAAGAATATTTGTGAATGAATGAGAACTTATAAAAATGTCTCCAGGTCAATAAAATGTCAGAAAATAGTGTCCATTTGTAAAAAGCAAAGCATGTAAAAGGTTGCCAATCAGAAGCCTGTTTAGCAACCTGAATTGTTTTCTAAGATGTGTTTCAAGATGTTGTGTGGGTGGATCTGTATCGATTTATAATTCAAATCCAAATGTTACCAGCTAATAACACACACAAACATGTTTGCAAAGTAAGTAAATACGTTGGAGAATTTAGTTTGATAACCTGTGCATAATCTTTCAGGTCTTCGATGTCGAGAGGCACGTGCTGAGAAGTGTGACTTGACCCAAAGAGAAGAGATTTAAGATTGGGTTGATCAGGGGCCAGGAGCGCCCTTCGTAATCTGAATGATAGATAATCTAGATCGCAGAAAAGATTATGGGTCCCGCATTTAGCGAGGGTGGGAGTTAATAAACAGAGATCAGATTGGGACGTCAAACATCATTGATACATTACTTGGCACCTGTTGATGTTGATGTCACCTTAACCTCGATAACAATGTTGAATTCATCATGAAACTGCACCAGAAACACTTACAGTCGAGTATATAGAGAATGCCAAGATATTGAGTTACATTATTTGTTTGCTTGAATACACCATCACCTCCTGCCACCTGTAATTGCTTTGTCCTCGGGCACACATGTGAGATCTTGACAGCTCAAACCTGGCAACCTTGTCGCTCCAACAACAGAATTTAATGAAGCAGACACACAGTACCAGAATGGGAAATAATGGCACCTGCCTCAGTATATGTGTGTGTGTGTGTGTGTGTGTGTGTGTGTGTGTGTGTGTGTGTGTGTGTTGTGTGTGTGTGGTGTGTGTGTGTGTGTGGGTGTGTGTGTGTGTGTGTGTGTGTGTGTGTGTGTGTGTGTTGGGCACTTAGCACTTCTCATTTACATGCAGGATGTAGGGAAATGTGTAGGATCCATTGTCATCCTGGTGTGAAGACCTATGCCTCCTCACTATTGGCAACACATTAGAGCGGCTTTGGAATTTTTTTGCACATTTTAATGTTGCATTATATGTGAAAACTGTGGCTCTTAAACAGATATATACAACATATAGCCAGACAGGGAAAGAGAGGCGATAATGATGTATAGGAATAAGTGTGCAGGGAGTGCATGGTTGAGGGGAAGTGACAAAAAGAAAAATGGTGTCAAAATTGCGCATGAGAGGGAGACAAACTCCTTGCAATCTCTCATAGGCCCCGGAAAACTGTGGCAAGCCATTATGACCGTCATCATCACCACCACCGTCCTCGTGGTGGCTATAATAATTCTCGTTTTTTTTCTCCTCAGTTATTTTGCCTGCCACATTCAGAAATATCACTTGCAGCGTCTAGAGGAGCCTGTTGTCTCTACCGGCCTCATTTGAATACAATTCTCAGAGCAAAAAAAACGCTGCTGAACTGTCTCACCTTCCAAACAGATACATCATATTTTCACACAGGCAATAAAAGCAATGCAGGCCCAATTCCCCACAGTTTTGAAGACAGGGGCTGTATTTCAGCTAGACTCATCACTATGCAAAACAATCAGAGCACTGCTTGCCACAAGAATATTCCCTCCACTGCACACTCTGAAATGTGCATGTAACATCATCAGATTTGATGTTTTTTTTCCTTTTAAAAAACAAGCTTCCACTGGAAATTAGAAGTATGCAAATGTTGTGGAAATAATCACATTTTGATATAAAGCACTTGGTTTCAAAGCTCTAAATTGCCCTATGTGATTTGAAAACTTGTAAAAAAAACAAAGAGGCACAGAAAAAAAACACTCCAGGGCAGAAATCAATGTGCTACCTTTTATTTGGGAAGAAGTGAACAAACTCCAAGCACCGGATTACATTTCAAAGCACGGAGCCTAGAGCTTTCCAGTTGAAGAGCATGCATAGTGTGGGAGAAGGTGGTGTAGCGTGGGAGAGAGGCGTAATCACTATGACCTACAGTAGGATAGATGTAGGTTATGTTAGTCCCTCTCTGTGCCTGCAGTGCTCACTCGGCCTTTCTCTTCCTCAAGTCTTTCCCCTGGGCTGTCTTTCCTGGGTTGTTAAATCCCTGCTCCTTTAATCTCCTTACTCAGCTACATCCTCTTTAAAGATGCAGAACCACAGGAGAGACGTGGTATAAGTCACGGGGGACTGGTGCTGGGCGAGGTAGGGCAGGACGAGAGGAGCGGGGGTGTTTGATATAGGGTTTAGTGCGAGAAGTTGAACTGGGGTACCGAGGAAATATCGTATTTGACTAATTGTGTTGTGTTCAAAGAGTTCCAAAGAGCACCCCTTAACCTCCGGAGCACTTTGTGTCTAATTGAGGATTAAATCAAGTAATTTCATTTGGCTAACGGACTTCCTGATGTTTTTCTTCAGTTGTGTCCATTATAAATCCCAATGCTAATGATCACTGCAACATCTGATCTCTAGAACCTTAAATCTGGCCATCATGCTATAGTTGGCTTCCATGCATGTTAACAGTGATAATATAATTGAATGGATCCCACTGTGAGGTCAGTGTTGACTCATAGACAGTCTCATACAGCAGTGCAGAACACAAGCATACATGTGCAAAGATGAGAAATACAGTAACTGCCCATCAATCTACACATACATACATACATATGCATTTCTAACACACAAACACAACCCCCCGCTAATTCAACGCTGATATCAATACCATCAAAAACAATTCCACTCCGCTTCCTTCACCAGGGTCTGTTGTTCAGCAATGCCTATCAATCATCTGCTTGCTGAAACACACAGCGGCAACGTTTCAATAATGGTGCATCACCTGAGACTCAGGGAGATGAGAGTAATCCATTCAAAAATTGATCACGGTTGTCCTGTGTGCTACATGCGATTCAGAATGAGCAGACGGATCTACTGTAGACTTTTCTGGGTCATCTTTCATGTGTGTATCTTTGAAGTTCAGCAGCGTAGACATATACCTCAAATCACACATTTATGAGACAACCAAAGTGTGTCATCTGGAAACATAGTAGACCTGCAAGTTAATTGAGCATGAAAATGTGTCTGTTTGTGTACTCGATCAAAGACATTTTTTATTTTCTAAATAGAAAGGCAGTACGGAAGGATGCACTGATTTTTAAGGTTACCTAAAATCTAAAAGTTATCCCATCATTCAGTGAATATTTGTTCACAGATAATGAACTGACACACATGATCAGATCTCGGGATCAGAGCGTGGGAGGTCGCATTAGATAGCAGCACCAACAGCACACACTAATTTGCCATCTACCCACCGTTGTAAACGTGCCATATGTAAAACAAGGGATCCAATGTAATCTGTAATTAGTGGTTTAGCAGTACCTGTTTCCCAGAAGTAGACAGACTTCTCATCGTCTGTCTGAGCGTGAGCCTCCCAGAAACCACAGAGCAGCAGCAATGTCACCAAAAAGGTTACCAGCTCCCCTCTGTCCTTATTCTGAGGGTCCCCTGCTGCACCCCTCCACCCTAGCCCCATGGTCCGCCACAGGATAAAAGTAAATCCACTCAGCTCAGAAGGTCAGTGACAGCAGTGTAGAAAAAATAAAAAACACACTAGTCCAAAAAGGCAACAAGAAGTGAAGAGTGCTTGTTTGAGAGAGTGAGGGTGTGAGTAAGAGTGTGAGTGTTAGAGAAAGGAGTGTGTGTGGGGGTGTGTGTGTGTGTGTGTGTGTGTGTGGGGTGTGTGTGTGTATTCAGTCCTGCACGAGTTGAGGTCCGGTACTTGGTCTTGTGAAGGACAGAGAGAGTAGTTTTCTCCTCTCTTTTTGTTTTGCTCCTAACTTGGCAGGAAGGTCCCAGAGAGGCTGTCAGTGAGCGAGCTGCAGATGGACGCCTCGGTCTCCCTCCTCCATCGTATCCGCTCCCACTGTTGCCGTGGCTGCCTCTGTCCTCTGGCTGTGGAGCAGTGACAGTGGGCGAGTGTCTGCAGTGTTGTTCGCCTCCCTCCCTCTCGCTTGCTCCCGCTCACTCTCTCACTTCGTCTCCTATTCGCTCCCTCATTTGCTCTTCTCCCCGTACCACCCTGCTCTCCTTCTCTTTTTTCTACTCAGTTCCCTCAGCTTTTTTTATATGTTTCCTCATCTTATCTTCTCTCTCTCTCATTTTCCCTTTTTTATCACACTCCCTGCATCTCTGACATGCTCCCTCTCACTTTCTCTTCCTTTCCTCTCCCGTTTTTGCTTTCTCCCGCCTAGGGAAACTGCCCCTCCCCTCCTGCTTCTCCACTCGTCCTCCACTCGCAAGGCTGGGAAGGCGGCTGGAGACCAGCAGTGCTCACACTGGTCTCAGAAGCTCCCATAAGCACTGCTTCCAGGATCAGAGACAAGCCAGGCTTAATGCAGAGCAGGGGGAAGGGAAGGGGTTGATGGGGGAGGCAAGGAGGAGCAAAACACTAAAGCAGAGCGCAAGAAAGAGATGAGGGAGGGGGGGGTTATGCTTGTGAGAAAGGGTGTGAAAGTGAAATGATGGAATGGAAGCAGTGACAATGAGGACATACAGTAACAGCCTAATAATGTGATATGAGTATTTCTAAACACAAGCCAACTTGTTGTAAGTGTGTTAATGGAATTTAAAAGACAAAATTAGAAATATCAACAACATATTAGGAGGAGGATTATCAACGTTTAAGCGTGTTTTATAGACTTTCGTTTGCACATACACACAATGTTACATATCAACACGCAGAAGTTGGAATGTAGTGTGTGTACAGCTGATTTAATGAGACACAGATAAGACAGAAGTGCTAATAAACAGTATAAGACTACATCTTTGATCCAAAATCAAAATGTAACACTCCAAACTTTAGGATGAGAAGCTGACATTCCCCTTATTTTAGCAGCAATCGTTGATCCACAGTCAGAACGCAACAAAGATGTTAACATAGTGGTGAATATTTAAATGAGTCTCATAGTTTACTACTTAAAGAAAGTTAGAAAAGCCAAACTTGATAATTAAATGATAAGGCTGATATAACAATTTCAAGCATGAACAAATCCTGCAATTGTTAGGGACTATTTTCGACAGTGTATAAAAAGAGTTGATGTACGACAAGAGTGTAAACACTTAGCTAAAATTCTCCTCTGTCTCAGCTATGCTACCTGACAGGCTAAGGTCACGTCACAACGTCTGACTGACAGGCTTACAGTCTGGCAGTATTACCTGTTTCTTTACTTGGCCAACATCCTGATTAGCAGATTTACACAACAATCAAGAGAGAAGTAATTATTGGTAAAGACAACAAAAAAAAGAAAGCAAGTGGGTACCAGCAATAATTAATTCAAAAGCCAATGTCCTTGAAGCTATACTTTCTCTAACAGCAGCTAAATGCTGACTTTAATGAACAAAATAACCTGTGCTAATCTGAGTGACTGTATAAACTAAACGTCTGCCTTGCATTGTCTATTTCTGTTTGTGGATCTTCAAGCAACAACAGAACGTCTAATTGTTTAAGCATATATGAGGGCAGGTAAAAGAAAGGATATCATACTCAGCATCAATTCCATATAAAAACATGTCAATGTTACTTTAGAAACTAATAGTAACATTAATATCATTCGGCAAAAGGCAACTATGCACAATCAATATCAATAAATCATTATCAGGTAACTGCTCAGAGTACAGAGACTACAAAAACAGAAAGTATTATGCATTATGTAACAGATTGCTTTTTCCAACACTGCACTGATGAACATAATAGTGTTGGATATTCATAATGTACTTGCAATAGACTTTCTTGGAAAGTAAATGCTAGAAGGCACTGACTAAAATTCCCAGCTCTGCTTTTTGCAAGATGTGATTTTGTGTTGCCTTCATTGAGCTGTGACCTTTTACCCTTGGCTAGAGAGTGGTGGATTGCTGCTTTTGCTTTGATTCGGAGTGAGTTACTTCACAAGAGAAGTTGTTCAAGTATCTCAGGGTCTTGTTCACAAGTGTACGATGCAGCGTGATATTGACAGACTGATTGGTGCAGAATCTACCGTGAAGTGAAAATGATGCAGCCGTGGAACAGGAATGTCATGGTAAAGGAAGAGGCAGTGGGAATAAGTAGCGCTGAATGTTGCCAGTTGTTCTGTCTTTTTGCTCTCATCTATGTCTATGAGCTCTGCTAAGACGAAAATAATGAATAAATGGATAAACTGTAAGGGGCTGAAATGAGTTTCCTTCCTGGACTATCTGGGCTCAAGGGAGAGGGCAAGGTCCACGGATAGAAAGGAGAGGCTTGGAATATAATGGCTGCTCTTTCTATGGAGGCATTCCAGGCACACCCAACTTGCAGGGGACCCAGAGCAGACCCCCAACACATTGTAGGGAATACATATCTAAACTAGCTGTGCAAAACCCTGGGAGGATGTGGCTTGGGAGGACATTTTGGCTAGCTTGCTTGAGCTGCTACCAGAATATCTTGGTTGATACTTTGCCAACCCACGGCAAAAACATTAATGAGTCTTCTACAAGAAGACCCCAGCTGACCCAGAAAGCCACGCAGGTTCTGGTCCAGGCTCTCGTCATCTCACGCCTAGACTACTGCAACTCCCTCCTGGCTGGTCTACCTGCATGTGCCATCCGACCTCTGCAGCTCATCCAGAATGCAGCGGCTCGTCTGGTCTTCAACCTTTCAAAATGTTCCCACACCACGCCGCTCCTCCGCTCCCTCCACTGGCTTCCAGTAACTGCTAGAATCCACTTCAAAACAATGGTACTTGCTTACCATGCTGCGAATGGATCTGGCCCTTCCTACATCCAGGACATGGTTAAACTGTACACCCCAGCGCGTACTCTTCGCTCTGCATCAGCCAAACGACTCGCTGCACCCTCGCTGCGAGGGGGACCCAAGTTCCGATCAGCAAAAACACATGGGTTTGCTATCCTGGCTCCAAAATGGTGGAATGAGCTCCCCATTGACATCAGGACAGGAGATAGCCTGCACATCTTCCGGCGCAGACTAAAAACTCATCTCTTTCGACTCCACTTCGAGCGATAGAACTATTAACAAAGCACTTATATACTAATAAAGGGCTGGCTTATCTAAAGCCAGTTGAGCAGCACTTGAAATGTTTTAGCTCTATGAAGCCTGATGTACTTATATGATTCTGTTTTCTTCAAGTTTGTATTTTGTTGGTCGAACGCACTTATTGTAAGTCGCTTTGGATAAAAGCGTCAGCTAAATGCAATGTAATGTAATGTAATGTAAAAGAAAGATGTGCAGTTATCTGAAAAATAATGCACACCCTGCAGCCAATCAAAATGAAGTATTATATATGAAAGTGGACCATTGCTGATGTTATCATGCTTAAGATAGACCGATGAAACAGTTGTACCTATATCTGTTTGACTAGAGGAGTATCTTATTGGGGACACATGATCATAAGCAAAATATGGTAAGATTTGGAGCAGAAAACTTACCGTATTCTTTTTTGGAGTGTGATGGATATTGAGCAGTGATTTTCATTGACTCACCCTAGTCGGTAATCATTTACTCATTCTATATAACTTGACAGGGTGACAGTATTCTTAAAGTGTCAGCAATGCACTGCCTATATTTCAGCGTCTTTGCTATTTAATATCAACTGCGAGCAGCCCACCAGATTCAGTCAGACCGACAAGAAAAGTATATAAAACGGGGCAGATGTAGGTGGAACTGGCAGGATAAAAACGCCAACACCAGCCCCCACCTTAAGGCTGGCAGGATAATCTTTATCAGGAGATGACGAACGAGCCTTCCCTACAGATCCGCTTTGACATTTATCTAATTACCAACATCTTTCAATGAAAAAACCTAATTTGGAAAATGGTGATAGGAGCAGTCACTAACTCCACTGGATACAAAATAACTGCCAAGCAGTCTGACAACAGCGAGCCCTGATCTGTATCAACGGGTGTTGACTGACATGTGAATGCCATGTCAGACCATTATCTTGCTGCCAAGTTAAAGTGAAGCCTGCTTAAAAAAATGAAGATGCTCCATCATTTGTCTACATTAGATGTGTTATTTTCTTTTTAAATGCATGGCTTGAAAATGCATTGTGTGTCCTTCATTTACTTTGTTACACTAGCTTTATTACCAATATTAGACATCAATATGTGTTTTTCTCCTGTGGAGCAATTAACAGTTTTTAAGGACAACTACTCCAGTGATAAAGTAATGTATTTACAATTATTTATATTACAGAACATGTGTGGCACCCAGGTGGTAAAGGTTTCCGGCACAACAAATACATGTAATATAAGATAATGCATTTACATAAAAGCATGATTTTTGTATAACATAAAGCGTATATAAATGTGATATTTGAAGTCTATGTACAAATAGCAATAACATCAGATTTAAACAGGAAACCACTGTGTCAAGCAGTCAACATCTAAATCGTAATATTAGTTAAGTAGTGGATTCTGGATTTTTTAAATGACCTTAACTTAATGTTAAATGTCATTACATTTGTACTTATTGATTTCCATGTCATAAAAAATGTCTGAAGGGAATTTTTCAATGAAATACTTATTTCTTTGCTACCACTAGAATCATTATGAAGATTATATATATGTATCTTGCAATAATTACTTTTTGTTTAACTCTTAGTTTGAAATCATACTTCGTTATTAAATTGTATAAACATATAGACTCATCTTAGCATGGTTATGGTTTTAAAAACATTATGCTGCATGTAGGCCTATATGCACAATTGACAATAGGTGTTAAGATGTTAAATAAAATAAAGAAAAGATAAAAACATATTTCAGCATATTTTTTAAAGGTCCCATGTCATGGCCATTTCTACTGATCATATTTCCATTGTTGAAGTCTACTAGAATAGATTTAAATTGTGCAATTTTCCCAAATCACATTGGTTAGTTAGTTTTACTCGCTACAGGGTGTACTTTGAGGGGTTTTGACTCTCCAGACCGTTTACATGCATAAAAACCTTCATAACACACAAGGGGACGGGTAATAACCGGAAAAGCATGCCATGGGCCCTTTAAATACACTTCTGTGGTTGCATCTGTAAATTTTGACAAGATATATTTTTGTCATGCACACCCACGCACCACTATGACTTCTGTGCATATTTATGAGCATCTGTAGGCACATATTTTCACAACATGTACGCTGCAGGTTCACATATAAGCTGCCCTCATTACTGCAGAGTGCATACATACATAGA